CAAATAGATAAAATATAAACCCTCCTCCTTTATCCGGGTTTGGGACTGACTATTTAAATTTTCAGTAGGCGGAGTTGAAAATTGTACATGAACAATTTTTTGTAGCGTGTACAATTTTTTAAAGAAATTAAAAGTAATGATAAGAAAAGAAAAGTTTCATCAATATAATTAAATCAAATAGCACTTACTTGACGACATGCAATTTCGCCATATTTATCTTGTAGTTGAAAATGAGCGTCTTGCCAATCCTTAACGCACATTAACGCTTCTAAAATATCTTCTTTCGGTCAGCTCCTGACCTCACTCAAAACTCTTTCACCTGCACTAAAAGCAGATTCTGAAACAACAGTGCTAACCAGAGGTGTCAGCAGATCTTTTGAAATCGCAGATATAACTTGCCAACGTCGTTCATACCTTCACCAGAATTCAATTACTTCGTCTGAATTTTTTTTAATTGTTTTGGCATATTTTGGTTGAAATAATCAATTAATTCAACAGACAATACATTATGGCTTGAGTCCGTAGATGTTTGATAAGAATGAGATACAGATGGTGACAACATGACAGTGGTAGTAGATGAACACATTACAGATAAATCATATATATACGAATTAGAGCCTTGAAATAAATTAAATATTTTCGCATCTTCTTCTTCAATATCAGCGGAAGGAGTATGTGCAGATGGTACCCGACTAATATTGGTACCCATTCGGTTCGCATATAATTCATACATTTCACATAATGTTTGCTCTAAATTTCTATATGTGATAGGTGTATCAAATGTTAAGGCGTTTGAAATTTGATCAATTATATATTTAGTTCTCGATAAATTATATCGGGGGTCCATCACGCATGTTAAAGGAAATAATATAGGCAAGTCTTCCCAATATTTTCTTAATTTTAATTTCATAGCAATTATAACTTCACTAAAATCAGGCTCATTTTTGTATTTATGAAATGTTCTTGCAATTATATAAAGATGTTCAAGCACCATACAACTGATGGAATAGTAAACGCCCGATAAAATCTAAGTGGTTTCATAAAAAGATGTCAAAAATCTTTTAATTTTGAAGCTATTTGCCAATCACGTTGAGTCAACATACCCTCGTCATCACTTCTAACATGTCTCTTGTTGTAAAAGTCAGTTATTAAATGTTCAAAACATTCACATGACTTTAATAACAAATAAGTAGAGTTCCACCTATGACCTACGTCGCTAACAAATGTTTTAGCATTTTGCACTCCTATTTCGGCACAATAATCCTCAAATACTTGTTTTTTACTTGGGGAGATTGTGATATATATTAGTGCGTTCCTAATATTTTAAAGTTTATCCTTTATATGTTTTAAACCATTTTGGACAATTAAATTCAAAATATGACATACACAACGAATATGAAACAAATATCCACCAAAATCAGGTTGCAGTACCCTATGCAATTTATCGACAACTACTTTATTAACACTAGCATTATCGAAAGTAAATGAACGAATTTTACTTTCGCAATGATATTCTCTAACAACACTAATAATAGCATTAAATATATTATTAGCGTTGTGAGGAAACTCAATAATTCTAAAAGCAATAATTTTTTTTATGCATACACCAAAGTGAGTCTATATAATGTGCCGTTGCAGCTATATATGCTCTTTTAATAATTCTTTCCCATATATTCGAAGTTAAAGATATGACGCCCCCCATATTTTTGCAAATCCATAATTAATTGTTGTTTTGTTTCAGTAAAATATTGTATTGTATCGGAACGAAGAGTGTTTCGACTTACCCCAACGTACCTTAGCTGCAGATATTCTTTCACATACGAGACGTAGTGTTGGTTGTCAATTAATGCCAAAGGTAACTCAGCACCAACAACAAGTTTCACCATTCCGGTTCGAGCCCTCTCCTCCGAATACACCCATGTGGATAGGGGTGCAGCAGAACCACCGATGTCTGGACTACCAAATTGCAATTGTGTTTGACAGCTTGGAATAAGTCCGTGTTTGGCCGCACATACTTTGTAATGGCGATTGAGATGGGTGGTACAAATTTCTCTTTGTCATGCCAATCTTTGTTGGCAGTATTTACATACTGCTTTGGATTCTGGGACTCCATTGACGATTTTTTCCGTTGAAATCAACTTAAAGTGATCCCAATATTTTGCTTGTTTTTTCCCTTTTCGCTTTCCCCTCGCATCAGGAATGTTTAATTCAGCATCTTCTTCCTGATCGTGTTCCACTTCGGGAACGTCAACATCATCCAAATTAATTGGATAATTTGGATGTGATGAAGTGTATAAGGGATTAGAGTTCATGGCAAAATGGGACCATCACAAGGCAAAAGTTGGCAAAAGGAGCAAATGATTTCATGATGACTTTGGGTTTGCTCGTTTTTGGCAAATCACTAGTCTAATTTGATTGGAGCCGAGCCAAGGAATAAAACTCAGCGCCTTCAGCCCTGACGCAAGGCCAATTTTGGGCAAAATCCATCGTTTAGGCCCTCGATTAATCGTTTTTGCTATTTATGGTAATTTTCATTTTTGCAATATCTCTTTCTATGAAATTCGGATTTAGATTCCGTTTGTTGGAGGATGATCCCGAAGATAAGTATTTTCCATCTTAGTAATTATCTCATATTTTCCATTTTTGGAAAAAAATATCTTTATTTTATTTTATTTTCCGAATTTTCCCAGATTTTTCTACTATTTAATCAGTTGTAAGCCCTTAGAGGCAGTAGTTCTGAAATTCAATAAAATCTTCCTTGAGAATTTTCTCAATTTGTGATTGTTCATCTTCCCTATAATATTTCCGCTACGTCAGATTGCCGCTTACATGATGATGAAGATGCAAATTTGGAATATCTTCAGGTAGGGGTACGTCATTTAGACCTTCAAATTGATTCCGAAATTGACTTTGCGGTGTCATAGGCGATTCGTTTCCTCCTACACCGAATAAGTTTTGGACAAATGTGCGTGGATCCATTTGTTTAATTGTAATACGTAATAACTAGTAAAATAATAATTGTATAAATGTAGTGAGAAATGAAAATTGGATGAAATTTCAATAAATGTAGTGAGAACTGAGAATTGAGAATTGGATATTGTATAAATTGTATATAAAAATTGCACAACTATCAACACAATACAAGAGAGGTGAGAGAAAGAGAATTGAGAGTTGAGAGTAAATTGTAGAAAAAATAGTGGCTAAATGCTACTATTTATAGAAGGAAAAAAAAAAGGTAAAGGACCGAAACGGTCATTGAAAAAATTCAGTGACCGTTAACGGTCATAATTTTATAAAAAATAAAAAATAAAAATACTCAGGGACCGAAACAGTCACTTTTTAACACGAGCCCACAAGCCTCATTAAAAACGAGCCTACGAGCGGCTCGTTTCCTTTCCTTTGCGGTGTCATAGGCTCGTTTCCTTAGCTCGTGTTTTTACAAGGCCGAGCCGTCCATGAGCTCCGTTTTTGCGAGCCAAGCGGGTGAGCCGACGAGCCGTTCGGCCCATTTGCCACCCCTAACTGTACACCGAGTGTACAACCATCAAATTCCTTCAGGTACCTATTGTATATTGAAGGCCTGTCTACTTTTCCGTGCGCATCGTTAGTATAGTCGGGGCAAATGATGTCATAAGAAGGCCAATTTCTTCATATTTAAAATTCTTAAAATTATCTCCAAGTTCGTCATTTACTTCTCCGGTTACTTAAAAAATACATCCGATAATGCATTAATATGAAATAAATTACATATACGGCAGCACAAATGGGTTAATCATCCATAAAAATTCTTTAAATAAATACGCAATACTTTATTTACTAGAATAGTTGTGAACTTTTAATTTAAATTTAATAAATTATCAATCGGTTATAAAATTAAGTTTTAGTCATCCAATTTATGTTGTTACAAGATTTATCAAGTTGAATCAATTTTTATATGTATGTGGATTATTTGGTTGATTACTTGATAGCATTGATCTCATGGTCATAATCATCTCTTTAGTATCCCACCATTCCTACTTTTTTTTATCTTGCTAGCACGTTAGTTTGCTAATGAAAGTGAAAGATCTTATATGTTCGACTTATTTGAAGCTTGTTGTGGAAATTTTCGAGAATTCTCTAATTTCAGGTTCAAAAAACAATCAAACAAACACCAAAATCACTAAGGCTCAACCCAAAACCTCACCTTTACTTTGGTTACCACAAGTCTTCTAAACCCCACAAAGGAGACTATGGAGGTGGTAGTATTTGTAAGCTACAAGGAAGAGGAAGGAAAAGATAACATAGGTTGAATCTCACACAAACTCCTCACATGACTACCCCTCTCTCTCGTTTTACCCTTTTGCCAAACCCACACACCCACACACAAAAGAAAACGGCTTACAGGGATGGATTTATAGATCGGATATTAAGTCAATTGGGCCAACAATAAGGTAAATAGGCCACAATAAACTAAAGCCTAAACCAACAAATGGGCAACTTAAAACCAAGGCAAACTTAATTACAATTGGGCCAAGACACACACATTTATCAACAACAAATCCAACTCCAACTTGCACAATCCAAAAGTATAGATTGTTTCCAAGTCTAGCCAAATATGTGGTGTTGATAAATTATCCATCAATTGTTTTAAATTACCGCCCGAATTTATTGGGTATCAAAAGAGCCAATGAAAGAAAGCAACAAAAAGCAATCCAAGGGACGCGAAATTGGCATGAGTACTCTAAATCGCCTCTCTTCTTTCCCGAAACCTTAGACAAGCGACCCCATCCAATATTATCAACAACGCAATAAATAAAATCAACAATCTTAGTTCTCATTCAATTTAGCATGCTGAATGTTGAGTATTTACCCAGCATCAATTCTTCTGTCTCCTCCAGCCCATGTGAAACAATAAAGAGGTTTTCAATTCTTCATGATGAGACAGACTATCAACTCTACATTTTCTAATGTGAACTACCTTTGTAAGATGAGAGTCAAACAAACTAAATCATATGGATATGTAAAATACGAAATATAATTTGATACATACACAAAGTGTTCTCGAGGAGCCCATGTTTTACTCATAATGTATGACAAAATCCAATTCATGCTTAACAAACTTCATTACATTCAAATATAAGTGATAATTGTATAAGATCAGAATGAACACTAAAAACTTCCTCAAATTCAATCAGACTTTAAACTTCAAATATTAATTATGTTGATCATCTATTAAACCTTGCTAGCCCCACCCTCTTGGACGAACACCATCCATCTCTAAGAGAGACTAGTTTCCCATCATTTCCCAATAGGCTTCCCTCTATTTCTAGCCAACCTTTGAGCCCTTCTTGCCCTCCTCCACATTTCAAAATTTCTCATCCTTGCAAATATTTTCCGAATTTGATCGAGTTTATGAGCTTGTTGAGATATCACATTTGCAGTCGAGGAATTCTCACTGAGGACTATTTCGTATCCATCCCTAAAAGAGTCCATGCCCTCGGTAAGAAGCTGCCAGAAGAGGCCACCAGCAGCTGCTCCACCGTGCCTGGCAGATGCATAAATCTTGTAGTAGACAGTATTGAATAACATGTCTCTTTGGTAGGAGCTGAAGCCAGGATCTTTCAAAGATTTTCCAAATTCTGTAATAAGTATAGGCTTGCTGAGAACAAATTGAGCATCTTGAATGTGTCCATCAAGCCAATTGTTAAGAAAAGAAAGTTGATTCTCATTGTTTGAGCTCGATAGCCTGATCATACGACAAAAATCAAAGAACATTACTATCGATTGTACTATTCAGTCTATTCAATATTGGATATCAAATGTCATTAATTTAGGAGTTACCATTGATCTGGATAGGAGTGAACTGTAGCAAAATCGATCCCCGGAATCCGATTATTTGCAATGAAATCAGTACCTATGTTAAAACTAGGATTACGGTTCAACCTCTGAGGAGATGATTGTCCATAGAATCCTTCTAAACCAGCTTCCAGCATATGAGCTCTGTCTATGGACTTCACGTAAGAGGCCATTTCCATTATCCAGGCCTGTCAAAATAACATAATTATTCAATAATTTTAATTAAATGGAGTATAAATATGCCAAGAATTAATAGCAGATGTCATTTATTTCTCTCCAAAAATAATGTGGGCTAAGGCCTAAGAGTAGGTGAGACACATGTAAACACTACACATTGGTGGTCCTCAGTACAAATTTACATAATTATTAGGGCCAGATTAATTTCAGGCTTAAATTCTCTTTTATGAAAAAAAAAATATATATATATATATATATATATATGGTCACCCACCCCACAAAAGGACTATTAATTACAAATAAAGCTAATAATGAAATTTCCATATAGAAATTCAAAATCAATATCAAAGATGAGGCCTGATGAGGACCTGAATGGTTCTTCCTGATGGATCTGAGGTACATCTTGGCTCATTCATCAGCTCCCAGGCCATAATTGTTGGGTCATTCTTGTAAAGTATTCCAGTAAATTTGTTGAATCTGTTAAGAATTGTCTACAGAAATTACAAGAGGCTATTATTATTATTATACCAAAAGCAAAAGGGCCAAAAAAAAAAAAATTGCAAACTTTTTGTATCTTACCCTGATATGGTTCTTGTAATATCCCTTAACCACAGGATTTCTGAAGAAATCATCATCAGAAGTCAGATACTGGCCTGCACTTCTAGCCCAGTTTACATACTGTTTCTTCCCCCCTAAGTTTTCATAATTATTTGCCAAGCTTAATACAAGCTTGATCCCATATCTTCTAGCTTCAGCTATGACAAAATCCAACCCCTTGAAGAAGAAAAGTAATTATTAGTTAGAACAAGAAATTAATATGAGAGAGTAAGTGTAGAGTATGAGACAAACTAACCTTGAACATTTGCTCATTATAAGAGCCAGGAGCATACTGTAAAGGTTTATATCCACCATCACTGAAAGCCCAAGTTCTTGCAACAGTGAGGCCATGGCTTGAAGCTTGTTGAAATGCAGTGGAGACTTTGTGTCTCTGAGAAGGATCAGAAGCCACATACATTAGCCAATAAGCATTGAATCCATTTGCATAAAAAGGACTGCCATTTAACATGAAATGGATTCCTCTGGTTCTTATGAACCCATCTCCTGCACCTGCACAGCATTTTTGATACACAAACAGAAACAGAATTAGTGCCACAGCCAAATGTTTCATCTTTTTCTTTCTTTCTTTCTTTTTGTTTTTTTGAAATGTAATCTTTAAGGCAGAGATAGAAGGTTTTAAAAGGTCAGCTGAAGGAGAATGTGGGGCTCCACAAGTTTTGTCCTTGACCTAAACTATTAAGGAAAATCAACCACATACAAGGCATACAAAATTAATTTTTAAATAAAATAACTTTGTTTATTAAATAAAATTTGCAAATAAATATAAACGATTTTTTTATTTAGAAATAAGAAAAGGTAACTTATTTAAACCTATGTAAAACTGGAATTAATTGTTCAAACATTTTTTTAAAGTTTAGTGATTAAAACTCGACAAATTGGATATTTTAAATTTTAGTGATCAATCAAAAATACGAACCCAGATTCAATGACCATTGGAACAATTAACTCGTAAACTTTTACTTCTAAGTATTTATAATCTATTGCAAAAAAGAATATAACAAAGGATGCACCGACGATCAATGGAATACACAATTTCACCTTCAGTAAGCTGTACGTGGGCTCAAAGGTAGAAAAAATTCAGATGATCGCCGTACAATTAATTGAAGTAACCTACTCGACGATAGCAATTTGAAAAGTAAAGTGGGAAAAAAAGTAAATGGAGGGTAATTCAATAGTGGGATTCCATTGACAAAGGCAATAAAGCAATAAAGCATGGGTAGCTCCATTAACTTTATTTGATTTCCATTTCTACCATCACATTGTCGGACTAACTTTCCTCTCTCCCCTCACAAGTCCGTTAATGTCAATTCAATGTAAATTGTGTTGATTCAAACTTTCTTTTTCCAATATACTTTCGACAATTCAATATATCTTAGCAAATGAAAATACATCAATGTATTTTTTAACATTTCGATACGTTACACAATATTAATCTTTTCATTTACTAAGAAGAAATGATATATCAATGTGTCGAATGTGTATTCAAGATACTCGTCAGAGGATAGCAAGTTCGTGACCACAAGATCTTAATACTTTGCATGTCAAAATGTCTAAAGCTTTGTGAATTTTAAGAATTTGGTTCACATACATAGAAATAATTTGTGCTTCATTAGTTCAAAATGTACAATTTCATGCACCTAGGATTTTGGGTTTCCTTATCCACATTTAAGGCATAAGGTACAACCACGTGTCACAAGTTTATAGACGTGGCCTGTGGGTCATAATAACCCACGTGAATAAGTTACTGCCATGCCCTTCTCTTCTTAATTCTGCTATTACAATTTCTTCATGTTCAAGGCTCGAAGATAACAAATCCATTGCATTTTTCATTTCCCAAAAAGATTGGTTCCATGCGTAAAGCAGAGTCCACACATTAATATCACATTCATGTTTGGACACTTTAACCACCCCTCTATCCCATTTAGACTTATTAGCACAAAACGGTCATTAGTGTGCATAATATTCTTACGTTTCAATTTTTTACATTTTTACCCTTGTTTCAACATTTCATTGTGGAAAACATCTTTCCGTCCATCTGTTGTGAATTCCCCTATTAATGCACACCTGGACTCACTTTTAATTTTAAAATGGAAGGGTAAAATGGTCAAACCACTTCAAAAACCTCTTCTTCCCGCTATAAACAAGTTATTCTCAAAAAAGGGAAAAAAAAAATTAATCAAACAAAACGGATGAAGCCCACTGTTCATCATCATTGTCGCCATAGTTGATGCATCTTTGAAAGTTCACCATTCATCATCCCCATGGGTGACGCATTTTCGAAAATCGAATTTTGACTTCCACACATACTCTCACCCCCATTACTATTCGCAGCAAACCGATATCCAAAATCACAAATCTCAATCCCTAAATTGTGCATCAGAAGCTGAAGCTGTAAATCAGTTCCCTAAATTTAAACATGCGCAAAATGACCCAAAGTGAAAAACTGTTTTGCGTATAACGTCCCGACGTTCGAACAAAGTTTGCGTAAAACGTCCCTACATTTTGACAAATTTTGCTCATAACGTCCCTATGTTTCAAATTTCTTCGAAAACTTTCCCTATCAAATCCTATAAGCATTCCTTTCATTCACAGCAACAGAATCACCATAATCAACCATAGCAACCCAAGACACTAATCAACCATAGCTACTCAAGACAATAATCAACCATGGCAACTCAAAATATTGATGAAACTACAAAATTAAAATAGCAACAAAATTAAGAATGAAAAAAAAATTGCATCTAAAATAGGCGAAATGGAGACCTTTATACTGTTGATCATTCAGACACGTGAACAAAACAAATTTACAATATAATAACTTCATCAAGTTGGCACTACAACTGCATTCAACGAAAACCAACAAAGTGAACATATAAGCACTACAATTGCTTTCAAAGCTTGAAATGTCAAACTTTAAAATCAAAAATAAATTTCATAAAAAATAGCAAGGAAGCCTCGATCACCCAAAACTTGAAATGTCGAACATTAAAATAAAAAATAATGGACCTAGGTCGAAATAACACTTTCTCCTAATTTGCCCTCCACTACATACAGAGAATAGCCCACTACGAGAGGAAAAGTTTTAGATGAAAGGAGAAGGGGATGAAGAAAATGGGTGCGCACGGGACATGAACAGTAGAGAAGATGGAAGATGAACCGTGCTTATGTTATGGAGAAGGAGATGTTTTTTAAATGGTCTGGCCATTTCACCCTTCCAGATTAAATAAAAAGTGAATACAGGTGTGCATTTAACGGTGGAACTTATAGCAAATGGGCGGAATGACGTTTTCCACAATGAAACATTGAAATAAAGGTGAAAATGCAAAAAATTGAAATGTATGGACGTTTCACACACTAACGGTAAAACGTAGGAACATTTTGTGCTAACAAGCCTTCCATTTATATAGATTGATTTTCCTTTTTCTTTTTTTGTCTCATTTATATGGTCATTTTTTTACTGAGAAAGTATTTGTTTGTACGTTTATACATTTACTAATATACATTTATTTAATTTGCCTAATTATAATCAATTCCTCCAACTTAACCAATTTCAACGATAATTTAATCATTATTATTTTCTACTAGTTGTTGATAATTAAATAAGAGTAAACTAGGAAAATTATTTACAAAAATTTCTTTTTTAATAACATTAAATAAAAGATTTCAATCTATGTAAAAAACAAAATCAGTCTATATAAGTGGGATGATAAGAGTACTAAATTTTACTATTTAATTAAATTCAGTACAATATAAAGCTTGTTTGAACTAACTTGAGTAGAAATATCATTATTTACAATTCATTGCAGAACTCACAAGACGTGTTAAAGCTGAACATAACAAAACATGTCTCAAGATATCTAAACTCATTTTAAACCTTGATAGCAACATTTATTTCTAACATTAGAATATTTTCAATAGACTCTTTATTTATAAAGGGCATCTTATATATTATAGAGAATGTTTTTAAATTTAGAGAGTCAAAATTTTTATTCACTCCAATAATGTTATCTATTTTGACTCTTTATTTAATTTATCTAGGAATATTTATTGATTTCTTCTCGTATTTTATTTAATATAATCTTTAATAAGTGAATAATCAATCAATTTAAGAGTCGTTTTACATGGCTTTTAAAAAGTCAAAAGAAAATTTTGAGATTCAAAAGATGTTTTTGGATCCGTTTGACTAAGTTTATGAAAGCGCTTTTTTGTTAGAAGAGTTTTTAGAGAAAATTGGTCAAATGTGATTTCCTCTAAAAATACTTTCAAAGTAGGAAACTTTTTTAAAGATTAGTTTTCATGCTAAAATTAAGATAACTTCATTCAAAAACTTTCTACAAAAAGTAAAAACCATGCCAAATTGACTCTAAATATGGTTCGAATAATTTAAGAAATAAAGTATTGAAATAGGTAACTTATTAAATACAGTTATTGTTCATTAAAAATAAAGAGTGAGTTTGGCTCTCTAAATTTGAAAAGTCGAACCTATCCCTTGTCTCCATTTTTTCAAAATACATTTTCCTTTCTCTTATTTTTAATCACACGTTCTTTGATAACATAATATTATACATAAACCTTAAATTTTTTATTTTTTAACCATATATTCTCTATCAAGTCATTATTACAAAATGCATTTTTTGCCAAAAATGGGGTTCAAACGTGCTCCTACTTTATATTTTGAAAAGTTAAAATTGAAAGTCTATCTAAGCTTATGTTTAAGCACTATCACTTTAAAATAATGAATATTTTATATTTAGCCCCTGTTTTAGCTCCATTTTTTAAAAAAGCATTTTTTTCAAATTTAATTTTCAACAATATATTCTTCTATAAAATAATTTTACACGTATTTCAAAAAAATTCTTACTTTTTATTCACTTATTTTCTAAAAAATTACTATTTTCATAATACATTTTATCCCAAAAAATAGGAATCAGACAATGACTTAGATAGTTTTTTTTGAAGATGATATTTAGGGTCAATAAGTATTGGCGAGTGACTATGGCATAGACAAAAGTAATGGATGATATTGGAGTATTTATTGGCGTGATGAGCGGCACCATCTTTACCGAGACATGTGGCGTGCTGTGTTCTAAAGTGGGATACCTAAGCATGTGAGAAGCTACCTAACAAAAAGAGAAAATTGATAGATACGCTACGATTTTGTAGGGCTTCTCTTCTCGTGGCTTTGCCAACATCAAATCCACTTCAGATTCAATTGCTTTACCAAATGGAATTTTAAGAGCTCAAAGATTGTAATTAACAATCTGTTGTGAATTCTGCAATGATTTTGGATTATTATTTTTTTTTTAAACCATTAAAGTAAGAGAGATTATGGTTAGTAGTTGACAAGTTAAAGATGACAGAACGATAATCTAACAAAGGAACAAGCAATTTCTCGCTTGCATCTTATGTTATCTCAAGCATGACGGCTGGAGCAAGAAGAGCAGCAACGATTTTCTGTGGATACTTATGGCGCTAAATATAAGATATTGCAATAATAAAGTTTAATGACTTTTCTCGGAGATATTATGTAATGCATTGAGATATTTCTTGCACGGTCGTAGATGCATTATTAAATGTGGACTTGTAATTTTGTCCTACTTTTAACTC